CAAAAAAGTCTGGATAGTGGACGTGGCAGTGCCTGGAGACAGCAGAATAGAAGAGAAAGAACTGGAGAAGATAACAAAATACAAAGACCTACAAATAGAAATAGAAAGACTGTGGCAAAAGCAAGCAAGGGTAGTACCAATAGTCATAGGCTCCTTGGGTGCAATCCCAAAACAACTGGAGCACCACTTGAACACCATTGGCATTGACAAATTTGCTATTAGTCAATTGCAAAAGGCGGCCTTACTAGGAACTGCTTCCATCCTGCGACGATATCTGTAATACCATCAAACATCCACATCTGCCTATCCCAGGTCCTGGGTAAGGACTCGATAGGTAGACAAAATGCCAAATCCAGTCTGAACATCTGGCTGATTGTGCGATGATCCATAATAATAATAATAATAATAGTTGGAAGAGACTATATATCTATATCTATATCTATCTCTCTATCTATCTATCTATCTATCTATCTATCTATCTATATATATATATAGCCAAGATATTGTAATGGAGTTTGGCTTGGACAAATGTGCCACACTTACTATCAAACAAGGAAAAATAATGAAAACTGAAGGAATCAAGATGCCCCACGAAAATAACATTAAGAGTCTGGATGAGGAAGAGTACTACAAATACTTGGGTATCCTTCAAGCTGACAACATCAAGCACACTGAAGTCAAGAAAAAGATTAGAGGTGAATACATCAAGAGAGTGAAGAAGATCTTAAAATCCAAACTCAATGGAGGAAATACCATAAAGGCAATCAACACCTGGGCAATCCCAGTTCATTAGGTACACAGCTGGAATAGTGGACTGGACTCAAGCAGAACTAAAAGCAATGGATAGGCAGACCAGAAAAATAATGACAATGAATCATGCCCTTCATCCACGCAGTGACATTGATAGACTTTATCTACCAAGGCAAATAGGTGGGCGTGGAATGCTACAAGTACATCAGATGGTTGAAGAAGAAAAAATGGCTTTGGAAGAATATCTGAAGAACAATGATGAAGATGCACTGAAATTAGTATATCAGGAAGGCTTACTAACTATTGGAGAGACCAAACTGGCCTACAAGAAAGACCAAATGAAGAACAGAATAGAGGCATGGGAAGACAAAGCACTACATGGCCAATACATGAAAAAATAGCTGGTAAAGCAGATAATAATAAAACCTGGCAATGGCTAAGAGCAGGAAAATTGAAGAAAGAGACCGAGGGACTAATTCTGGCTGCACAAGACCAAGCCTTAAGGACAAATGCATACAAAGTCAAAATTGAGAAGACAGCAACAGACAGTAAGTGCCGCCTATGCAAAGAAGCTGAAGAAACAGTGGACCACTTTGTAAGCTGTTGCAAGAAGATTGCACAAACTGATTACAAGCAGCGGCATGACAAAGTAGCAACAATGGTGCATTGGAAGATCTGCAAACAATATCATTTGCCTGTAAGCAAAAACTGGTGGGATCATCAAATAGAGAAAGTCATAGAAAATGATAAAATTAAACTGCTCTGGGACTTCAGAATTCAAACAGACAAGCACCTGCAACATAACACCCCAGAATTAACAATTGTCGATAAGAAAGACAAAAAAAGTCTGGATAGTGGACGTGGCAGTGCCTGGAGACAGCAGAATAGACGAGAAAGAACTGGAGAAGATAACAAAATACAAAGACCTACAAATAGAAATAGAAAGACTGTGGCAATAGCAAGCAAGGGTAGTACCAATAGTAATAGGCTCCTTGGGTGCAATCCCAAAACAACTGGAGCACCACTTGAACACCATTGGCATTGAGAAATTTGCTATTAGTCAATTGTAAAAGGCGGCCTTACTAGGAACTGCTTCCATCCTGCGACGATACCTGTAATACCATCAAACATCCACATCTGCCTATCCCAGGTCCTGGGTAAGGACTCGATAGGTAGACAAAATGCCAAATCCAGTCTGAACATCTGGCTGACTGTGCGATGATCGATAATAATAATAGTTGGAAGAGACATTGGAGGTTATCTAGTCCAACCCCTTGCTCAGGCAGGAAACCCTATATCATTTCGGACAAATAGCTGTCCAGTCTCTTCTTAAAAACTTCCACTATTAGAGCATTCACTGCTTCTGGACGCAGGTTGTTCCACTGAGTGTTCTGTCAGGAAGTTTCTTCTTAGTTCTAGGTTGTATCTCTCCTTGATCAGTTTCCATCCGTTGCTTCTTGTCCTGCCTTCAGGCGCTTTGGAGAATAGCTTGACTCCCTCTTCTTTCTGTCAGCCCCTGAAATATTGGAACACTGCTATCATGTCCCCCCTCGTCCCTCTTTTCATTAAACTACACATACCCAATTCCTGCAATTGTTCATCGTATGTTTTAGCCTCCAGTCCCCTAATCATCTTTGTTGCTCTTCTCTGTACTCTTTCTAGAGTCTCAACATCTTTTTTACATCGCGGTGGCCAAAACTGGGTGCAGTATTCCAAGCGTGGCCTTACCAAGGCATTGTATAGTGGTATTAATACTTCACGTGATCTTGATTCTATCCCTCTGTTAATGCAGCCCAGCACTGTGTTGGCTTTTTTAGCAGCTGCAGCACACTGCTGGCTCACTTCTTGTTCAATACAGAAACCAATGAATGTTATTATCCCTGCCTCCAGGAAACAAGTCCCAGCCAACATTAAATTATAACATTTTTAAAGAAAAAAACAGCAGGGGGAAGCACACTTCCTTTATTATTACCTATTTGCTTTGATTTGAAGACTACAATCCTGAGACATATTTGAACAAGGCTTTAGCAACCAACTATTATCCCAACAATTATTTTTGTTAGTTTCCTCGTTCGTACTAAGAAAATCAGATGCTTCTCAGAGTCTTCCTTCAATTTTTATTCAGTTTTCAAAGCAAGAGAAACTCCTTAGGGAGGATGCAAATATAACACATTTCTTTCCCTAGTATTCGCCTGCAGATTGTCCAGGTCATTACACAGGGGGGCTGAGAATGATCTTGTGATTCATTACATCTTCATGGGCAATGAATTTGGGCAGCGCACAAGTGCCGTATAGTAGCTACAAGTACCTTTGTCTTGAGTAGCTATTCCCAGAACAGAGCTTAAATGAGAATTTCACAGAGGAATGCAAATGTTATTTTCAGGCTAATTTTGAAGTTTCTTCAGTAAGGTACAATGCAGTGGAGGAAGTGAAGCAATTGGCGAACTACAGTAGTACAAAGAAGAGTCACAATTTCAAGGGGCTCTCGTTATTTTTTGCAATGCTGCTGGGAGAGAATCATCCATGGATGTATCGATCTCCATATTCCTTGTTTATGAAGATTCTCAGTCTTCCAGGTCATGGTTGTTCCAAAGGCAAGTGGACTTTTTCAAAAGGCAAGTGGACTTTCTTGGTTTTAAATGTTTTGCTTCTCATCCAAGAAGCTTCTTCAGTTCTGAAGAAAAAAAAAAAACCCAGGAAAGTCCAGTTGCTTTTTGAAAAAGCACCTTTGGGGTTTGCATTCATTGCTTGCACTCTAGCTAAAATAAATGTGTTTTAATATACATTAATATGCATTTAATATTGCGTTATAGTGATGGTAAGATTGAGTATGTTTGGAATAAGGAAAGTATTTTTATTACTATTTTAATGCCATTTGACAGACAATCATCACGGGAGAGAAGAGTACCCAAGACTATAAGAGCACCACCACTGGTGATGGAATTACTGGATTTAAATATTCCATTTCAGGAATATAAAACTCCACAATTCACTATCCCCAGCTCTTACACACTGGGCAACTTTGTTTTGCAATTTTGAGATAAATTCCAGCTGACTAAATACAGCACAGACTTTCATGGTGAAGCAATGATTTCAGCTGCTTGTCCCTTTCCACATTCCAAGTTTCAACACTCCCAGCATTTACTATTATATAAAAGCTACAAGGGCTGACATTGTGGTGTAATGAAAATAATCTCACACTTAACACCACAAAAACTAAAGAACTTATAATTGACTTCAGAAGGAAGAGAGATGCACATCTACCATTGTACATAAATGGTGAGGAGGTGGAGAGGGTGGGTAGTTTTAAATTTCTGGGCACTTATATCTCAGAGGACCTCTCATGGACTATGAATGTTAACATGCTTGTGAAGAAGGCACAGAAGAGGCTGTATTTCCTGAGAATGCTCAGGAAGATAAATCTATCTCAGCATCTACTTCTGTCCTACTATCACAGCGCCATTGAGAGTGTCCTGACATATGGCATTCTTGCATGGTATGGGAGTAGCTCTGTAGCAGATAAAAAAGCTCTACAGAGAATTATTAAACCACCACCACCCCCCAGAATATTATCGGACTCCAGCTACCAGCCCTGGACAACATCTTCGAATCTCGCTGTTTGAGGAAGTTGCATAACATTCTCAGAGACTCTTCCCATCCTGCTTACAATCTCTTTGGACTGTTGCCTTCTGGCAGAAGATATAGAACATTTAAAACTCGGACCACACGTTTTCTGAATAGTTTTTATCCCAGAGCTATAATTGCATTTAATAGTGAATTAAAGGGCCACCATCAATGAACTGTTGGATAGTATTACTTGGTCTGTTGGGTGGATGTTGGGTGGTTTTAGGGGTGGGGAATTGTGGTGGGTGGGAGTGTGTTTGGGGATTATGTGTGTGGGACCTGGTCTTTGGGTGTCACGTAAATTTCGTTGTATGTGTATACTGTGTATACACATACAATGACAATAAAGTTATTTTTTTTTATGAAAATTTCTGATCCATAGTGCCAGGTTCATTACAAATATTTATTTAGCCCCTCCCTCTCTGACTTCTGATGGTAATTTGAATTAAAGTGTGCAGATTTCATAAACAAATGGCAAATGTGGATTTATTTTTTAAGGTAAGATGCTGCAGTTATATATCTACAATAACTGAACCGCATGAAGTGCAATGAAAAATTGGATGAAATTATAAAAGAAATTAGAGAAGAAATTAGAGATTGTAAATAATTATTTTTTGAACCAGGTATATAAAGATGGGTTTATTTATTTCACTTAGGAAAAAGAATGGATTTATTTACTAGAATTTGTTTAATTATAATTTTTTTAAAAAAAAACTTCCATGCCTATTTTCCAATATTTGGAGCACTGCTCTAATTCCAATATTAAAAAAAGATAAATATAAATTCTTATTAGAATGTTTAGGGAACTGCCACACCTAACAATACTCTACTTTTGTTGCCTTCTGAAACATGAAACATTTGCCTTTTTATGGAACTTGAGGGAGATACAGAACATGGGATTCAGCATCATTAAGAGGAAACAAAATATATGGAACAACTTTCCATACGTTGCTTGATCCACTATTATAAAATGCACATGATATGAATAAGCCTGAAGGTTTTGTGCTTCTCTTTTATTTTGTCTTCTTTAAGAGAAAGCAGTAAAAACAGACTGCAAATATGAATATACTGCATATCCTAAAGCAGAGGCCCCCAACGTTTTGGGCACCAGGGACCGGTTCTGTGGAGAAAGATTTTTCCACAGACCAGAGGGGGTGTGGTTTCGTGTGCTGCCTGCATTCAGCAGATGGGGCTTCACTTCTTTGCGCGGTATGCTGCGGCCCAGTGTTGGTCCACGGACCAGGGGTTAGGGACCTCTGTCCTAAAGAGTATGATTACTTCTCCTCCATGTCCCTCCCTCAAGTATAACCAGCCTGATCATTCATTTCAACAATCTTATTCTGACCTTTATGAGTATATGGCTTTTCTGATATTGATCTAAACATGTGGTATTCAGTATTTGGTACTGAAATGCAAGCACTGCTCTATAGTTTGAATCACACATTATAATTAGCCCCTAACCTAATCCAGGAGCCACCAGGATCAGTTGAAAGTACACTCCTCCATTCAAATGAGAACAGGCAGCCAGTGCACACCAAACGCACTTCTCTGTAGATGCTCCAGAAACAGAATCTTAAGCTGCTCTTAGTCCCATCCTTGAAACCTGCTGCTCAGTATCAGATTATAGCCTTTAAATATATTGGTCTTCATCCTGATTGTTGGTGAGCAATGACCATTTGTCTGCTTCAGCCTCCAAGTCAACTGATGCCATGTCTGAAGTCAGGGAACAGAGAGACACTTGACTGATATTGTCCCAGGTGGCTAATTTGGGAGGTTTTTGTCTCCGGTCATCCATCCCAATATGGACACTAATTTGGGAAGGAGTCAGTGGCTTCATGCAGCCTTGAGCCTCAGCTTCATATTTTTCCAGGACAGTTTTCTTGTAACTATAGAAATAGAATAAATACAAACAAATATATTTCCAATAGAAGCACAGAGTTGGATGTGGCAGCTGCCTAGCAAATACTAGTACAGGTAGTCCTCAGTTACAACAGTTCATTTCGTGACCGTGGAAAGTTACAATGGCACTGACAAAAGTGACTTCTGACTGTTTTTCACATTTACAGCTGTTGCAGTGTCCCCATGGTCATGTGATCAAAATATCAGATGCCTGACAACTGGTTCATATTTAGGACGGTTGGAGTGTCCCAGGGGTCACTTGATCACTTTTTGCGACCTTCTGACAAGCATGGTCAATGGGGAAGGCAGAGTCACTTAACCGCCATGTTACTAACAACTGCAGTGATTCGCTTAACAAGGTGTGGCAAGAAAGGTTGTAAAATGGGGCAAAACTCACTTAACAAATGTCTCACTTAGCAACAGAAATTTGGGGCTCAATTGTAGTTGTATATCAAGGACTACCTATAATCTGCAAATCACGAGTCTATTTAGAAATGGGACTGTTGAATTGAAGAAGATATAAGGACTAGGTTTCTCTAGCCCAGGGGTAGGCAACCTTGGCTCTTTTATGACTCATGGACTTCAACTCCCAGAATTCCTGAGCCAGCCATACTGAGGGGAAAGGGAGAGGTTTCCAAGCTGAGCCATGCTGGCTCAGGAATTCTGGGAGTTAAAGTCCACGAGTCATAAAAGAGCCAAAGTTGCCTACCCCTGGGCTAGCCAGAAGAGCTCTTGATTTGTTAATTAATCCATGTCTTGATTTTGGATTGCTGAGCGCCTAATTTGTGAAAAACATCAAGCCAAGCGGGTGGAGTAGACACAATCTGCCTTATCACCAATATCATCATGTCTTGCACCAACATGTCAACAGTGGTGAAGTTAGTTCTCAACTTAATGGCCAGTCGTTTAATGACCATTTGGAGTTAAGATGGCCTTGGAAGGGTGCATTGCAGTTCACAAAACACTTCTTTATCATAAAATGTTGCCCCCCCACTCCCACCCCATGGTCACATGAGCACATTTCGGGCACTTGGCAACTGGCTCAAATTTAAAACTGATTGCAGTGTCCCTTAATCCTGTGACCACAAGGTTTTTTTTTAATCATTTCCTGGGATTTTTTTGCTAGTTTGTAGCAAAAAGTACCCATCCAAGAGAACTGATATAGACATACGCCTGCAGGATTCACTTAACAACTGCTATAAAAACAGTTGCAAAATTTAGTCCAGTCAAGTGGATTCCTCGACATGATCAAAACTCTGGTTCCATTTGTAATTATAAGCTGAAAAGTACCTGCAGTTGAAGGCATTTGCTCAGTATTTTGATTCTTAGAACCAGACTAGCCACTGCAACTATGGCTCATGTTTAGAAACTGTCAGTCCTCTTCAAGCAAACTTATTTAGAAAGTTCCAGCATGATGCTGGACAGAGGTAGAAGAAAGGCATTATCCGCCTTGATTATTACTAATAGCCTAAACTTAACAGTTTTTAGAAAAGGATACCCCAATCTTATTTGGTGATTGGGCAGAACTCATTCATTCAGGACTGGGAGATGACTTACCACCTCACACAAAAAGGTATTTAAAGGCCAGTGCTCTGACAGACGAGCACAATTCAAAGCACACTGAAGATGCCCCCCCAAATGGAGACGAAGTGCAGCCAAATCGCCAAGCTCGAAGATCAAACCAACAGCCCAACTACCAACCCGAGCTACTAATATTCAAACACATCTCAACTTACCATTTTAGCTGCAGGGAAGAGAGTAATACGGATACTGAAGATGCAGCCATTGCAGCTGACCCCATCCATGGCTGTAGCACAAGTCCTAAAGGCATAAATACTCCTGACACAAAAAATAGACACAATTTAGAATGTTGCTTAAATAAAGTTATATGTAGGCATCTCTAAGAATGCAGAATTTAGTCTTAAATCATTTTCTTATCACCTGTCTGCTCAAAGCTGAGGAGTTTTACTGCAAAATGGAATTATGTTTTGTGTATTTCTTCTACAAATTTGTTGTTTGCTTTCTATTTTTCATGCTCAGAATAACATCAGTTCAGTACAACTGGAGCTCACAACTGACATGCAATTATCAGAGGGACTTTACATCAGCCAATTGATTGTCTTCCAGAGGCATTGGACTTCCACTTTCATAAAGTCCTAGTTGGCATCGTCAAACAAGATGAGTCAAAGTTATGTAAACTAGAATATTTTTGACATTAAAATCCAATTGCTTAGCATTAGCAATAGCACTTAAACTTATATACCGCTTCACAGTGCTTTACAACCCTCTCTAAGCGGTTTACAGAGTCAGCATATTGCCCTCCAAGAATCTGGGTTTTCATTTTACCAACCTCAGAAGGATGGAAGGCTGAGTCAACCTTGAGCCGGTCAGAATCAAACACTAGAAGGCTGCTGAAGAGTATATTATTAATTAAGCCAAAAGCTTTTTCACCACAGTGCATTTTCCTTCTTAAGCACTCAACAAAATCAGGAGGGTCTTGAGATGTGAGTTTCCTTCTCTTACATTTTTCCGTCTCCTTTTTTTTCTTTCAAATAATTAATTATGGACATAACATTATAAGGCAACTCTTAATAACAGGAAAAGCAATACTGCTTAAACAAGTAACGAATCTCTTACTTACCTTCCACCAGCCCATCTGCTTGAGAATCATAGTACAAATAATTTACCTGCTGCTATGGGTATGCCAATGAGGTTGTATATTAAGGCCAGGATTAGGTTTATTCGGATTCTCTTCATTGTCTTCCTGGATAGATGGATACTTGCAACCACATCAAGCAAATTATTCTGTACCAAAAAAAAGGGGAGGGGTTGTTCCAATTTCTCAGAAAGTCCTAGGAATCTCCCCTACCTCCCCATCACCCTTTTTCATTTTGTAAGCTCACATGAATCAGCACAACATCTGCTGCTTCAATGGCGACATCTGTGCCTGTTCCGATAGCAATGCCAACATCAGCCTGGGCCAGCGCTGGTGAGTCATTGACCCCATCTCCAACCATGGCAACTTTTCTTCCAGAAGTTTGGAGCTCCTGAACTTTGGCTACTTTGTGAGAAGGGAGAACCTCAGCAAATACTTTTCTGATCCCAACCTAGATACAGAAAAACACCCTCTTGTTTGAATCCATGAATAAAAAAAGAGAATCTCCTGGGAGAAAAATACATGAATACGGGTTTAGAGCTCTTCTAAATCATCTGGTCTGGCATCGGTTTTCAAAAATAGCCAGAGAAATGTGAAGGGAAGAGCTGACATACCATCCCTAAACTCACTGCTGGCATAAAGCCGGCATGACTATTTTCAAATATTCAACCTCTTTTCCAGAGAGGAAAGGCTTTAATATTGGTTTCTTAAAGGTTTTGGGTGGATGAGGAAAGGCAGAAGTAATAGGCATTATAAAAGGTACAAATCTGTAAGAGGCGATTTTTAAACTTTGCTAAAAAAATATTATCACATGCACAGAAAGTTTCACAAAGAACCATACGCATCTTAAAACGAGGGTTTTAATTCAGTACTCAGATTTAGATACCGTACAGTATTGTTCTGTTCTCCCTAGAAATCTGGTAACTCTTAAGTATGGAGGAAATGACCCATACCAGGGCTGCCATCCACACAAAACTTATACCAGTGATGGTGAACCTTTTAGAGACCGAGTGCCCAAAACCCACTCCCCCGCCCCTGCTCTGCCTGCTGCCCTGCCTGCTCCGCCCCTGCCCGCCCCCTGCCCCACTCACCCATGGGGCCACGCACCGTATCCATGGCCCACCGCAGCAGATCGCCCAGGCAGCCCTGCAGCACCATGCCCTCTGCCCACACCCCTCAGCATCATCTGCACACTATAGGATGTGAGGGCAGAGTCTTGTCCCTGTTGCCCAGCTATGTACTCGGCTGTGCTGCTCTGTGTGGGCTGTGCCCGGGGGCGACTCTCCTCCAGGGGGGCTACTAGTGAGGAGGGGGCCATGGGGGGAGGCGGGGCTGGGGCGACGGCGCGTGTGCCCATAGAGAGGGTTCCGAGTGCCGCCTCTGGCACGCGTGCCATAGGGTCGCAACCACTGGCTTATACTTAGCTCTTAGGCTTCTCTGTCTGGTTGCTTGGAAGATAACCAGTAGAACATATTATTTGGACTAGGAATTATTAATCTGGGCCCTCCCAGCTTTTTTGAAATATAATCCTGACAAACATGGTATTGCAATGCTGTCTAGACTTGATAGGAAGTGAACTCTAAAAAATCTTGAGAATATCGGGTTGCATTTCCCTAGCTTAGATTGATAGGCTAGCGCAGGGGTAGGCAACCTTGACTCTTTTATGACTCGTGGACTTCAACTCCCAGAATTCCTGAGCCAGCCATGCTGGCTCAGGAATTTTGGGAGTTGAAGTCTACGAGTGATAGAAGAGCCAAGGTTGCCTACCCATGCGCTAGTATAAGGATAGTTGGATTTAAATCCTCATGTAGTAACAAACCTTAATGAGACTCCACGTCAGTTTCTACCCTGTCTCACAGAACCTTTTGGCAAAAGATTGGAGGGAACATGTCATGTTATATTCCTGACTTGTCTTGAGGAACAGTAGGATAAAGAATTATCGTGTATTTTAATGATTGCATTGTACACCCTCCCAATTTTATTCTACTGAAGCCAGCGCTACTTGTTTCAGCCTATTAATTGGTAGAATCCAATTTTGATGTCACATTGTATCAATTTTGTAGAATGCAAATCAGTTTTATATGCTGTAAGCACCTCCAAGAAATATGAAAGGCATGGTTACCTTCAAATTCAGCACCCATTCAATGAGCCAAACAAAGGTTAATAATTCTCTTGCATACCTTTTCGACAAGAAACCATACCTGAGTTGCAATTGCTTTGGCTGTTTTCCTATTGTCTCCTGTAATAAGCACCACATCCACGCCCATATTCTGCAATATGTGCATTGCTAAGGCTGCCTCTGGCTTGACTGTGTCTGCTATTGCCATCATGCCACAAAGCGCACCTACAAAAAAACCATATCTTTACTTACATTTATGAGATCTGTGTTATGGTTTCTCTGGGAAGCTCAAAATAGTCCTTGACTTGAAATCACAACCAAGCCTGGACTTTCAGTTGTAAGTTTTTAGGATTATTAAGCGAGGTGCCCACATGATGGCTTTGCTCAACGACTGCAACCTAAGCTCTCCCTGTAGCAGTTGCTAAGTGACCCCATAGGTCGGTGGCAACTACACAGGGGTATCTCGGGATGGGGAGGCCCACGAAGATCCAATAACCATCAGTATATGGAAACCTGCCATGGCTGGGCAGTGTCAGCTGGCTAGGTCCACCATTGCAGGGACACCTCTCCTGCCCCACTACACCAGGGTCTACTTATGTTTCTGTTGCCCTGCTCCATCCAAGCACATGGGCCCCATTATTGCAATGGTTTGGACAACTCCTCCAAAGTGTGCACTTTGGAGGAGCTTCTGAACCATCATGAGAATGATGTCAATTGTTAGCATTTTCTCCTTTGGAGAGGAAGATGCTAGCGAAGCTAGTATTCTGAAAGGCTCTGAGACTCAGCCCTTCAGAACACTGAGGGTCAGAGTATGTAGTGTTTTCTCCTTTGGAGAGGAGAAGGATGCTAATGAAAGAGGTGGATTCCGGAGGAAAAAACGCCAAAGGGTCCGAGAGACGACGTCTCCAAGCAGCCCTTTCATTCTGTGTGCAGAAGAAAACTATTTCTGCAGGCAGGCTGAACAGGGCTTGGAAAGATCCGAGGGAAGGAGTTATCCAAAGGTGCTTTTTCAAAAAAGGCAACTGGGCTTGTTTTTTCTTCCCTTTTGAAAGTATTTTGCTTATCATCGAAAAAGCTTCTTCAGTTGTAACTAAAGAAGCTTCTTGGATGAGAAGCAAAACATTTTCAAAGGAAGAAAACAAGTAAGCCCAGTTGCCTTTTGGAAAAGCATCTTTGGGATAATCACAACCTGGATGATTGAGACTCTCCATAGACAGGGAAAGAGGTCTGCTCGACAGAGAGACTGAAAGAGCTGCCTGCCAGAGAGAGGCAGAGAGAGCTCTTGCACTGTGTGAAGGAAATTCCTTCTCTGGGTAGATTGAATGGGGCTTGGATCTTGGGGATTCAAGTTGTGTTCAGCCAGCCGGCCCAGCACAGGTGTTTTTCCCACTCCCTGTGCAGAAGGATTCTTTCAGCCAGCCTCTTTGAAAGCAAAAAAGTTGCTTGATAGATAGATTCTGGCCCCATGCAGGGTGGAGTCCCTCTGCCAAGCAGCTTTTTCAGTCTTTCAGGCTGGCTGAAAAAAGGCCTTCAGGACGGACCTTTTTCAACCATTCCCCAGGAACCAGCCAGGCAACAGCACCTTGTGACCTTCCCTGGTTGACTTTCTGGGGGAAGCTGGTAAGGAAGATTGAAAATGGCAATGACTGCAGGGTGCTTGACAATCCATCGTAAGTGTGAAGTGCATAGATTACAATCATGTGATGGCAGGGGTGTTGCAATAGCCGTAACTTTGAATACAGGTCATAAGTCCCTTTGTTCCGCGCTGTTGTAATTTCAAATCATCACTGAATGGATGGTCATTTAGTGAAGACTGCCTGTATGTGGTATTCCATACTGTAACCTTCCCTAGCCTAGTGTCTTCCGGAGATGCTGGACTTTATCTCCTGTAGTTTTCCATCCTGCATACCCAGTGGTGATGTTAGCAGAAGGAATTAGGGAAGTGAATGTTCAGTGCATCTGGAGGGCACCAGCACAGGGAAAGATGTTACCATACAACGGCTTCATAATTTGAATTTTTAGCCACAGGATTGAGCAACATCCCAGTAGCATAGCTTTGCACATTTTTCGGAAGTCAAGACATAATAATAATAATAATAATAATAATAATAATAATAATAATAGTTGTAGTAGTAGTAGTAGTAGTAGTAGTAGTAGTAGTAGCAGCACCAGCAGCAGCAGCAGCAGTAGTAGTAGTAGTAGTAGTAAAGTTGGAAGGGACCTTGGAGGTCATCTAATCCAACCCCCTGCTCAGGCAGGAAACCCTATATCATTTCGGACAAATGGCTGCCCAGTCTCTTCTTAAAAACTTCCAGTGTTGGAGCCTTCACCGCTTCTGGAGGCAGGTTGTTCCACTGGTTAATTGTTCTAACAGTCAGGAAGTTTCTCCTTAGCTCTAGGTTGCTTCTCTCTTTGGTTAGTTTCCACACGTTGCTTCTTGTCCTGCCCTCAGGCGCTTTGGAAAATAGCTTGACTCCCTCTTCTTTGTGGCAGCCCCTGAGATATTGGAACACTGCTATCATGTCCCCCCTTGTCCTTCTCTTCGTTAAACTAGACATACCCAATTCTAGCAACCGTTCCTTATATGTTTTAGCCTCCAGTCCCCTAATCATCTTTGTTGCTCTTCTCTGTACTCTTTCTAGAGTCTCAACATCTTGTTTACATCGTGGTGACCAAAACTGGATGCAGTATTCCAAGTGTGGCCTTACCAAGGCATTGAAGAGTGGTATTAATACTTCACGTGATCTTGATTCAATCCCTCTGTTAATGCAGCCTAGCACTGTGTTGGCTTTTTTGGCAGCTGCAGCACACTGCTGGCTCATATTTAGGTGATTGTCCACTAGGACTCCGAGGTCCCTCTCACATATCTTCCTTTAACCCTGATCAGTTAGCCTACCATTTATAGCCATCAGAATTGCTGTCTGTCCTTTCATTTCATGATCTCTCATGGCCTCATGAACATCACTGGAGATATGCAGGCCATTCCGTCTCATCCACTCCCGATTCCCAATCAACACGGAGTAAGTTTGAGACACTGCAGTATCTGTCAGATATAAGAAGGCAGAACTGTGAGGATTTAAATAAAGACTTTTATAAGCTACAGGGGAGGCTTTCTTAAGAACTGATATTCCAATCTGTTTGCTTAAAAGGTATCAACCTATATAACCTGATAAGGATGATAGAATGTCAATTTACTTGTCTTGGCAAGCCAATTCAGAATATTCTTCAAAACTTTCAAGATGTTATGAGAAGTACAGTGTTGTGGAATTAGATTTGTATAAGATCCGTTTACTGCTTGGCAATGATTGAAATTAGATAGGAAAGAGTACACAAAGCAAATATCTTTTTAAAAGGCACTATGAGGAACCAGGAACTAAGAAAAACTGAATTCCAGAGGGAAGAAAGGACTTTTGACTGCAAGTCAAAAGGGAACTGGAATGCAGAATGGAGCACATATAATCAGACAATTCTGACCAGGCTAAGACAAACTTCTTTCACTTGGAACTTTATAGATACACTGGAATTAAGATAATCATTGTACACTCCTGGGCATCTACCTTGCCTAACAAACAAATGGGCGATTTGATGGAGTTTTGCTTTCTTCAAAACAGACCGTGTGGTGTTTTTCTGTACTGGGGCAAGAACATGAAATTGCAGCAACTCTTCAGACTTGGTTGTATTGCTCATGTTGCTCACCATCTCGATTTACAAAAGCTCCTAAACTGATCAAAGCACTCTATTATCCAAGCCTTAAAAAAAAAAAAATCCTTTGGAGGCTTTTATGAGGTCTTCTTCATTTTTAAAAAAAACCTAAGAAACAATATCTAATCTTGATCTGTTTTCCCCATCTATTTCTCCTTTCCAGAAAAGATGAAACCAGGAAGGAAAGATGGCACAGCTTTGACTGGTAGAGCATTTGAAAAGTTTTTTAACATCTTTAACCAGGAACATAGCCAACATGAGCTGGTTGGACCTACTGTAACTTAGGTAATTCCTTAAGCAAACCTCCTCCATTTCTAAGTAGCACCTTGCTTACCCCTTACTTTGGGAAGTGGAGTCTGATCTTTAACACCTTTATCAAAGCCATAAATATGAGGGCGGAGACTGATCACATCCTGCTCATCACCCAATATGATTTCAGTGCTGCTAACATTACAGCTTATTCCACATCCAGGAACTGTCTGAAAATTTTTACAGCATCCAAGGATCTCTGTGCCAAGTTCCTGTAAAATATATATTTTAAACATCGCTTTGAAGAGCAAAATGCTTCATTTTCATGCATAAATATAAACATTTAAAACAATAAGGAATTTTCAAAAGCTTTTCTGAAATAGCAATAGCATTAGATTTATATACCACTTCACAATGCTTTACAGCTCTAAGTAATTTACAGAGTCAGCCTATTGCTCCCAACAATCTGGGTCCTCATTTTATCGACCTTGGAAGGATGGAAGGCTGAGTCAACCCTGAGCCGGTGAGATTTGAACTGACAAACTGCAGGCAGCTGGCAGTCAGCAGAAGTAGCCTGCAATAGTGCACTCTAACTACTGCACCACCATGGCACATGATGATGATGATAATGATGTGAATATAAAAAGTTAATATGATATGTAGTTACTTTCTAGAATAATAGCTTTCCCAAATTTAAACTTGAAAAACATGTACAAAATGAAGTGTACTTTAAATTGAAATTATGTATCTCACTATACTACTTCAATTTTAAATCAGATTAGTACTATAAACTGGCTTGAAAAATATTTTACAGTTCAAAATAAAGGGTTTCTCACAGATATGCTGAACTTGGCTTAAATGTCACAAATTCTCTCAAAGCAAAGTAGCCCTTCTCTTTTTCAAAAAAAGTAGTTATAGCTTTGGGGGATATTTAACTTGCTTAGGTCTATTTGACAGTATTAAGAAATTATGGCCCTATGAAATTACTGAATTGCAATACTTGGTAATCCAGCCAGGATAGCCAACACCGAGGGATGCTGGGAACTCTGGTTCTGTCTTTCATCTCTCCATTTTAGATCAAGTTTGGTAGCTTTGCCCCCTCAAGTACTGAAGTCTCTCTTGTATCAGGCTATTACCCTGAGCCAGCTAAACAGGAATTGGGTGGGAGTTCACATCCAAGGGGTTCCCTGTGCAGCACATGTTCCTGGCTCCACTCAGCTCAGGAGTGATGCTTAAGAACAAATCTGAAAAAAGTGGATGCCCACAATGATCTGGCCATAAGAAGGTAGCTTCCTCAAATGGTGGTACTGACTTTGAAGAAATGCATCCTAGGAAAAAGCACTACTATTTTTCCAAAAGAACTGGGGAGAAGGGAGGTGTTACTTGCTAACTCTCTGTTCTTTAAACTGAGAGGGTTCAATTCTCTGATATTAATTATGACTACTGCCTGTACAGCATAGGTGGCACCATGCTCAATAGTAGTAACTGTGAGAGGGACCTCAGAGTCCTAGTAGACAATCACCTAAATATGAGCCAGCAGTGTGCTGCAGCTGCCAAAAAGGCGAACACAGTGCTGCATTAACAGAGGGATAGAATCAAGATCACATGAAGTATTAATACCACTCTACAATGCCTTGGTAAGGCCACACTTGGAATACTGCATCCAGTTTTGGTCACCACGATGTAAAAAAGATGTTGAGACTCTAGAAAGAGTACAGAGAAGAGCAACAAAGATGATTAGGGGACTGGAGGCTAAAACATATAAGGAACGGTTGCTAGAATTGGGTATGTCTAGTTTAACTAAGAGAAGGACAAGGGGGGACATGATAGCAGTATTCCAATATCTCAGGGGCTGCCATAAAGAGGGAATCAAGCTATTTTCCAAAGCATCTGAAGGCAGGACAAGAAGCAACAGGTTGAAACTAATCAAGGAGAGAAGCAACCTAGAACTAAGGAGAAACTTCCTGACAGTGAGAATAATTAATCAGTGGAACAGCCTGCCTCCAGAAGCAGTAAATGCTCCAACACTGGAAGTTTTTAACAAGAGACTGGACAGCCATTTGTCCGAAATGGTGTAGGGTTTGCTCCCTGAGCAGGGGGTTGGACTAGATGACCTCCAAGGTCCCTTCCAACTTTACTACTATTATTATTATTATTACTATAAGACATCAGTGTGGTTTCTTTTGCCTCATTCAAGACATTTAAGGCTACTTATGTTTTATATAAGATTTAATAATCAAACCATTTTAGAGCTTGTTATGTGCCAAGGCAGAACTTTCCACCCGAAGCAGGACTGGACGTCAATGAAAAGAACACACCTCTTTGCAATACTGAGTAACAGCCATTCCTAAAGGATGCTCACTGCTGGCTTCGGCAGTACCAACGAGAACAAGGAATTTCTTCAGAGACAGGGTAGCTTCTGTGTCTCCTAGCAAGAGAACACGCACGACTCTGGGAACACCATAAGTCAGAGTCCCAGTTTTATCAAACATCACTGTCTTCACCTGGAAGAAGTTATATTGACAAGTAATGACTTTGCTAATTTGAAACATCCAAAGTATAGTTCTTTTGTAACAGAGAGGACCGGCTTGCTGATAAATTGGGGCATATTGTAAGAAAAGTAATCCCAGACTTTGGCAGGATAGTGCCCTTTTTTCTTTCTTGGGAAAGGTGCCTCTTTTTATGGATGGCAAACATTGCCATCTTAACTAATAATTAATTAATCAATCTAATTAATCTAATTTTTAGACAAAAGCAAATTGTCCTATTTCCAAAATCTTAAGTTACTATTCTTCTTCAGTTTTGAGCAATTTATTAAGTAAATTCTCAGTTTTTCATGTTTTGTTAGGTAAAGTTCTCTTTCAAGTCAAACATGACTCATGGACATACCCATGAGGTTTTCTTGGCCACATACAGAAACAGTTTATCCTAACCTTCCTCTGAGAAGTATATGACTTTATTAGGGCCATTAGTAATGTTATCTGATACATCTGCTAATGTCTCAAATGCAAATCAATCTTTGCATTTACGTCTGACAAAGTTTCACATTTTGGTCCTTGACTGCTAAACCAAATGTCAAGGACAGGAGCAGAATAACTACAGTATTTCTCTCTCTGAAGACCAAAAACTGGAATTATTTCCTATGTAAAACTTAAATTCTAGATATTTCAATTAAACTGCACATTAAGATAGCAAGCCTCTGAAACCATTTTAGTGACTACTAATCAGTAGGTATGCAAAGGAATACACAGTAAGCCTGCTTTTTGGTTTGTTTAAAAAGACCGTGCTACAGATTATAATAAATTGCTTCCAGTTTAGGACTAATAACAACAGTCATAAACTAGCAATGACAATATTAACCTTGTGTGCCATTTCCAGGGGTTTCCCACCTTTGATTAGAATACCATTCTGAGCAGCAACTCCAGTGCCCACCATCACAGCAGTTGGAGTAGCCAGGCCCAAAGAACAAGGACATGCAATGCACAGCACTGTGATGGAGGTCTGGAAAGCAAACCGTATGATAATTTCGGCTTTTGAGTTGTGTTTGCTGTGATTCTAGAAAGAAAGCAAGACATATTTATTTGCAAGAGATTTTTAGTTATTGGTAATTTTTTATATTAGTCATTATGCACAAACGTGCTCTCATACACCTTTATGCTGGTCTTTTGGAGAAAAATCACTATATGTGAAAATTCAGTCTCTCTACCACTTTTGATTGAAACTGTTTTCAATATACTCTTCCATATAAAAATATTCTCTCAGTTGCATTTAATTGCCTTTTCAGAATATACTGTCTTCTCTTAATAGTTAGATCTGATCATTTCCACTTTGCTCCAGTCCTTAATTATCCTGCTTAATAGTTATTCTTTTAAGCAGCATTTGGGGTATTTGAAGATTACAAATTAAAAACCTAAAACACTGGAAGGTGACAAAGTTCTAAAGATTTCCTCATCCTGCTTAATTTCATGATTGCTGTTCTGTTTGACAGCCCAAACTAAACAAGGCTCTGTAACTGTATAAAGTAACAGTAGAATTAAAACTTCAGCTTTTGCCCAAATGATATCTGGCAGTTGATCAGTTTAATTCACATAGTAATATTTGCTCACTATATTAATGTGAGAGAAAGAGAACAAATGCATGTCCTGGCACTGAGATGTTATAACAAACGGGTAGAAGTAATACAATGTTCAAGTGAATTGTTTTGCATTTCATTCTCAAATGGGATAGCTAAGTTCTTGAGAAACCCATTTGCCTTTCTCCTCTTTCTGATCCCCAGAGACATAAAGAAACAGCATTGGAAATCAGCATAAAAAAATAAAAACCATCGGAAAATGTCAGATTTAATAGATAAATGTGACAGATGTCTGGATCCTGGAGTTCATATTGAATCTGGAATCATTGAATTGGGTTTCCTGGAATCTTAAAAGTATGTGCCAATGTTTACAAAAATATTTTTAAATAATTGCAAAAAAAAAGATACAGGGATGGACAGACAGACAGACACACACATATACAAACCTTTGAGTGGTTCATTGTTACCTAATTCTTCTTGAATATTCTCAATTTATTTATATCTTACTAATGCATTCTGAAGCCATTTTAACAACTGTCTGGAATTATTGTAAGTATTGCAAGTAATTACAATACTTTAACTAATTATTATAATTAAATAAACAATACTTACAGGAAAATATTTCAGTACAACATCAAACTGTATAAATCCAATTACAATCCATGTTATCAGGGTTGCTGTTGAAATTATTATGATAAATGGAACAAAATAACCACTAAATCTGTCAGCTAGCTGCTGGATGGGTGCCTGCAAATCAGAAAACAGTAAGTTCTTATTAGTGCACAATATTAAAAAAATGCATAAACTTATCTAATTAAGTATTTTACAAATACATCTGGTTTAGAGAAATACAGTCTCTCACCTCTGATTAAAATGCTTTTAGCTTGTTACTGAAACAAGAGGATTTACTTCTAACGAAGTATGTTCAGGACTCCAAGGACTAAAGCAATCTATAGAAGGTGTTTCAACCAATAGTTCTGTGATGACAAGGTCCTAAGCCCAATGATTGCAACTGTACATGATCTTTCTGCAGTAAGATCATAAAGGCCTTCTGTGGTTTCCCAACTCTTGATCCATAACAGTTGCGTTCCCTACTGGCTCCCTGATCCAGCAGGACCAACTAACCCATACGATCAGGTTGGAGAAAACCATGTAAGCAGGCATCTCATCCAATGCAATTTAACAGTTGGTTTAAGGATGTATTGTGAAACTGAGCAAGGAAAATAAACCAAGTAGGCAAACTCAGTGGATTAGATTTAAAACTGCCTTTCTGAATCAGGTGCCCTCCAAATGCTGGCAGAAGCTGGGATTCAGAAGACCTCAGATGGGGAAGGATAGGGAAAGAACTTTGAGAAATATTTTAGGAGAGTGGGTTTTAGTTTTATACACTAGAGCAGTGTTTCCCAAACTTGACAATTTTAAGGCATGTGGACTTCAACTCCCAGAATTCCACAGCCAGCGTTGCTGGCTGTGGAATTCTGGGAGTTGAACTCCACATGCCTTAAAATTGTCAAGTTTGGGAAACACTGCACTAGAGTTCTGGAGTATTTCTAGTAATTTGAACACCCAGGTCAGCATATGAATTTAAACACCCTCCCCACCGCCACATAACACTTTGTTTGTTTTACCTTTGACATCTGAGCTTCCTCAACTAGTTTCACAATTTGTGCCAGGGTGGTATCAGAGCCAACATGAGTTGCATTTACAAGCACAGAGCCGTGTGCATTGAGAGAACCCGCAATAACCGTGCTGCCGGGTTTTTTAGTAACTGGCATGGCTTCTCCTATAAATATAATAAGTTAATCCACCAACATGTTTTCATAGCATTTCACATATATAGTGGCAGTTACAAAAAAAAATAGAGGTGCATTAAGATATACCCTGAATTTTGAAGAAAGCCACGTCTCAGTGCAAAGTAAGAAGATCAAGGTGCGGATGAACTGCAAATGCTCTTTGGTGAAACTGAATCCTAGCCAACCAACAATAACTCTTTGTTCTCTTTCTTTGCTTTGCTATTTTGTTCCCTATGCATCTCATTCTCAAAAAGTAAGCCACTCAAGCAGCAAAACACAACTCTTTATTCAGAAACTGATAACATGAGTTGTTTTCTTTCCAAAACGATTTTATTAAATTCTTTCTGCGATTCATTAGGGAAATAAATTTGAATTCCAAGGAATGCCTTCGAATATATCTTGTACATAGTGAAATAGGTGTCAAGAACTCTGGACCAAAGGATGTGGAAAAATGTTGGCTAATGGAGATCACTTTGTGATTTCACCCAATTATTAATAAGATCCAAAAGTATCCATCTGGGGCTAAAGGGATCCCCTTCCTAACTTTGGTTCCCTCCAGGCACCAAAACTACTGGGATTCTTTCCAAATAAGATTTGGGCCACCATATGTGGCTGAGGCAACACAGATAGAAGTCCAACTTGAGGTTCAGAGGTAAAACTGCCTTCAAACTGTGGTAAGTCCTTTAGCGCAGTGGTTCTCAACCTTTCTAATGCTGCGACCCCATAATACAGTTCCCCGTGTTGTGCTGATCCCCAACCACTTATACATCACTGGGTGCCAGGAGCGTGGCCAAAGAAAAGGGGGAAAACATGGCGGACAGCCTTGTTTGGTGACCCCCATGAAATGGTCATTTGACCCCAAATGGGGTCCCGACCCACAGTTGAGAACCACTGCTTTAGTGCATCCATATAGTTTTCTTTGAATGGAATAGAACAAATGTGGTTCACCTTTCTATCTTCTGAGATCTTTTTTTTTTATTTCTGACTCTGTCATATACCTTTTGACTTCCAACATGGTTCTCCCATTCTAATACCAACTAAACTGGGCTTATCCAGTTTAGCCTTCGAATCTATCAAGGTCAGCTAGATGTTACTTTTCCAGATGCTACCTAGCCATGATATATTTCATCTCCCCCCCCTACACACGTACACACCCTATTTTCTTGCACAACAGCAACTCTTTGGAAAGTAAATTATTTATTCTTTCAAAATAAGGAATTACCTGTTATAAGAGATTCATCGGCCATAGAATTGCCTTCAATCACTTTTCCATCAACTGGAAATTTTCCACCAGGGACTACCTTTACAATATCTCCTCGCTGAACTAGTTCTACAGAAATTTGCTCTTCTCTGTAAGATAAAATTCACGGTTAAAATTCAATGCAACGTTTTTTTCCCAGATCTTGCTTTTTTCAGGCAAAAGAAATTATGCTATCTTAATAAAGGTAAATATACAAAGATAAATATAAAAAACCCACATGTGAAATGTAAGTTGTTTTAATATTCTAAAACTATTTTTATGTATAGACTGCATATGTCAGAAGATTATAGTACTGAACTAAGGCCAACGATATCAGTTTCATCTCCACTTTCAAGTTCAGAAACTCACTGAGTTTCTGGGCTATTCACTTGAGCTCTTAGATGAAAGGAAGCTAATCTAATAAATCAACAGATTTCAGTATTCTGGGGAATCTGAATTCTTTCCAATCATGTACCACATTTATTGTCTCAAGATATTTAATCTATATCTTACTCAAGTAATGTGCGTCATTGCAAAGCAGTGGTCAATTGACTTTTCAAGACAGAATAAAACTAAACACATTTATTTAAATTTTATTTATATTAATTACATTTATATTGCACTTCCATCAAAATTAACTCTCAGCACTGAGTTAGAACAAATACAAGAGAAAAAAACATGCATAATACTGCACATATAATTTTTAAAATATATATATACAATAGCAATAGAAGAAGGGGACGACAGAGAATGAGGTGGCTGGATGAAGTCACTGAAGCAGTAGGCGTGAGCTTAAATGGACTCCAGAAGATGGTAGAGGACAGGAAAGCATGGAGGAACGTTGTCCATGGGGTTGCAATGGGTCGGACACGACTTCGCAACTAACAACAACAATAATATACATCTACTTCAAAAATGTAAGGGGAAAATATTAAAATTGAATTTAAATGTTTTCAGTCTGATGTATACAATGCAGACATTGTTAGATCCTTTGAGTGCTAAGATTAACATATTTGTTATACCTGTAAAAACAGTTAAATAAAAACTAGATGGCCTTCTTGAAAAAAACAAAGAGTAAATAAAGAAATACATCATTTATTTTATATGTTCAGCTAAACAATGGCACAGCCATTCAGATTTACATGGTAATGCTGAATGATTGTAGTGAGGCTATCAAATATGACTAATGAGAAAATCTTTTTAAGAACATATCAATAAAACAAATACTTCACAGGAGGAGATATATAGTATACTGCAACTAATTCAAACAACAATGACTATAAACCACAAAGAAATCCAAAATAACTTTGAAAATATAAATCAATCTATTTCTAAGTTAACTCTACAACAAAAAAATTCCCAGAAAACAACAACAGAGAAGGAGCAGATAAAACAGATAAAGGGATATAGAATTGAGAATAGACTTAAAGATGGAACTTAACAAAACAAGGAAAAATGATTTAGACCTAATGGAAATTTTTTTTACAAGAATTGGAAAAAATAACTTATTCCTTAAGAGTACAAAATAAATCTGAGGACAAGAAAACAGATTGGATAAAATGGACTGTAGAGATGTCAGGAACATCGGAGAGAAAGGAAATGATAAGAGAAACAGAGAGAAAGAAAAATAAAAAGATTTTCAACAAACATGGAAAGGCAGAAGCCCGTACAAAGACACTTTACCTGATTTACTTTTTATATCTACAGCAATATTTACGAACATACGGAAAAACTTTTTGATTCAGCAAAATACATTGATTAAGAAAGATACTGGGCAAAGGAAAAAGACTAAAGTGGAAACCAAGAAAATAGATGATGGGACTTACCAGAGAGAATACTTAAAAAAGAAACATTTGTTTGAATATGGTTAAAGAAATAGAAAAGTTTTGGAATATATATGTCACTCTAAGAGGGATGAATTCCCTAAATAATATAGTATGCTTTTTTCCCTTTTTTGTTTTTTCTTGATATGAATAATATAAAAAAGTTGAAATGACTTAGATAAAGGAAATGTTTTAGATACTCAAATGTGATTGAATTTAAAAAATATATAATGGATATAAAATGTTTTCAATAAGAGTTAAAGGACAAGATGACTAGATTTATTAAATGGAATGTTTAAAGATTAAACATATTTTTAATTGTGGTTAAAAAGAATAAGAAATTTAGGAAATAAATATATATTAGCTTAGGAGGGATATAGATTTTAAGTAGTATGTTATTTTTTATGTTTCTTTACTTTTGCTCTCCTTTCTTTCTTTTTTTCATTGTTTTATCTATTCCTTAAGAAATGTAAAAGTGTGAGATGGTTCATATGGAAAAATAGAGTTAAATTTTTAAATGTAATTAATTTTTGAGAAAATCTTAACCAGTAAGAATACCTAGAATTTGGTGGGAGAAACAAATTAAAATAAGGACTGTAATAGGATCTTTGATAAGGCAACCAGAATGATTGGATAAAAAAGAAATATTATATTGATGTGATTATTATTTTTAGGAATATTAGGAAAAATTATAAATTTTATTGTTATCTATCAAAACAATAAGAATTGTATTAATTCAATGTTTGCAAAAGAGGACATTTTGGGAAAAAAGGAAATCAACTAAAATCATTATGTGGATTATGGATTATAGAAATCAATTGTTAACGATTGTTTTAGAAATGTAAACCAGACAACACACTGTTCACCAATTAAGTGATTTATATTTTTAAAAAATCAATAAAATATATTACAAAAAAGGGGAAATATTTCTATACATGTAAGATCTAAGTTCATTCAGGAATTTACACATATCACATTAGAAAATAAAGGGATTAATATTTGGCCCACTAAATAAGAATTATTACCCAAGGTCAAATTTTGTTGCTTGTCAAAACCCATAATTGTTGTTTTCAAATCCCTTATTGCACTTTTTTCAAACTTTGCCATTTTAAGATGCATAGATTTAGATTCTAGAATTCTCCAGCCAGCATTCCCCAGTTCATGCGTCTTAAAGTTGCCAGCTTTGAAAAAGACTGCCTTACTATACAGGCAGTTCTCAATTTATGACCGTTCATTCAGTAGACCATTCTTAAATACTATAGGCTGGAAAATGGATATATTATCCCCTCCCAAAGTTCTAACTTTGGGAGGGGATCAAATTATTGTAGCGACCCCCAGCACACAAAAATTCACAGAGTGCCCACAGGCTAGGAAGCCTCAGCCAGCTAAGACCATTGACATGTAGAAATCCATTGTGGGCAAGAGGCCACAGATAGCTAGGCCCACTCTCTCAGAAGGCTTGGGCCTTCCCACCTCCCCATCAGTCTTGGAAAGTGTGGGCCTTCTCCACACCCCACACTCTCAAAGAAGGCTTGGGCCTTCTTCCTGATTTCCTGCACAAGTCTGCTTACCTTCCCTTTCCATGCAGCTGCTGGCAAGCATGCCCAGCCAATGCAAGGTGCAGCTATGATAGAAAGCTAGCTAATGTTTCCAAAGACTAGAAAGAGACTCAGAAACATTGCAACACAAGCACCAGTCTTCAGCCAGAACAAGCCTTCCAGGAGTGGTGGGAAGTGTTGGAAGATCCACACACTAGTGGGCGCTCAATGACTGCAGTGACTTACGGACCTTGTGGGCTCAGTTGTGGTGGTAAGCTGAGGATTACCTGTTTCCAAACCAATTGTAGTTAGGGAGTTTTCCTCCAAAGGAGGAAAAAAATTGCTTTAGACTTTCTTATCGATGAATGGTAAGGGAATCATTAATTTCAAAGGAGAGTTATGCAGGCCCAATTCCAGTTATTTAATCTACATATAGCTGTTCCTAACAGATGGATCAGACACAATAGGATAGTGGTGGCAAACCTATGGCATGGGTGCCAGAGGCGGCACTCAGAGCCCTCTCTGTGGGCACACCTGCTGTTGTCCCAGCCTTGCTTCCCCCCACGACCCCCTCCTCTCCAGCAGCCCCCCTGAAGGAGACTTTCTCTCAAGCGTGGCCCACACAGAGCAGCGCAGCCAAGGACATGGCAGCTAGGCAGGATAGAAAAGACTCTGCCCTCACGCCCCATCAAGCAGTTGACACTGCAGGGAGTGGTCAGAAGGTGTTGCCATCGTAGCGCTGCTGAGCTGCCTGGGCAATCTGTGGCGGGCCCTGGAGGCAGTGAGTAGTCCTATGGGCGGGCGGGGTGGGGATGGGGGGCAGAGCAGAGGCGGGCCAGTTTTTGGGCCTCTAAAAGGTTCACCATCACTGCAATAGGACTATTTAAAACACAGTGTACCCTCAAAATCAATTGCATCCACTACCATGCATTTACAGCCATTGCTTTCTTATTACAAGTAGTCCTTGACTTATGACCACAATTGAGCCTAGAATTTCTGATGCTAAGTGAAACATTTGTTAAGAGTTTTGCCCCATTTTACAACTTTTCTTGCCACAATTGTTAAGTGAACCTCTGCAGTAACATGGTTGTTAAGTGAATTTGGCTTCCCCATTGACTTTGCTTGTCAGAAGGTCACAAAAGGTGATCACAAGACCCCAGGACACAGCAACCATCATAAATATGACTCAGTTAAATTTTGATCAGCGAAATTCACTCTTTGACCACTAGGGGTCACTGCTTGCAGGTCAGTAACCAGGGTGCTCTTCCTTCAAGGTTCACCCTTTGTCCACGAGAAGGCTTTCTCTATGCGTGATTAAAGGCTTGCATTGAGTTCCTTCCTTGGAGAAAGGCCAGCTAAATTCTTCCTTCTAAGAACCACGTTGAACATTGTTGACCATCCGGAAAATACTGCACTCAGGTTAGCTCCTGTAAATTTCCCCTTAGTCATTATGTCTTTGTGATAACAAGCAAGGTTAATTTGCTATCTTTTTCTCCTTAATTTTCCCTCAGCAAAGATACCACTAGGGATGACTGCTTGCATGAATGATTACTTCGGGTGAAGTTCATTCTTTGCCCACTAGGGGGTGCTTGGTGCTTTGGATGAATTCAAGGTACTTTGCTCTTTGACTATCAGAGACAGACTCTGCATAGTTAGAAATTTCAGTGAAGTACCTTCTTTCAACTCTGGGGGGGTGCTATTGACTTGGGTTATTGCAAGCCTGCTATTTGCAGATCAGCTACCAAGGTGGGGGGTGCTGTCTTTTCAGCAGGGATAAAAGGCTGAATACTATTTTGCTGACAACTTTAGGCATTGTGTGCAGATTGGTCACCAGGGGATGCTACTGCATTTGCTAGTGGAGTTGATTGTGCCTCTGAAATTCTCTTCCATTGAGATTGCTCGAATTCCAAGGGGAGGGGGGAGTGAGTCAGTTTTCTCTCACCAGTTGCTGGGTTACCATGACAACAAATGGGTTAATGACTTCAAAGGGGCCTCTACAAACAAGAGTTCAGTAACTTTTCTGGGCTACTTTGCTTGGGCAGACAGAAGCTTGCAGATATCATGTCCTTTTGCTTGAAATGCTGAGCTAGCAGGCAGGGGGGTTGGGCCGTTTTGGTCCGAAAGATCCCTTAAACAAAGCTTCTTGCAAATAAACAACGTCTCTTTCTCTTGGCTTTCAAACAAACGGACTTGGTATGGCACACACACACACACACACACACACACACACATTTGAGTTGCAGGCAAAGAGGAGGGGTGTCTGCCCCAATGCTTCTCTGATCTTTAGAAGCACAGTCTTTAGACATGCAAGGACTCTGGCAATATGACGCAGTAGGCAGAAACATTTTTGGGGAGGGAGGTTTCATCCAATTTAACACTTCCTCTATACTTTAAAACGTTGGCTGGCAAACAAACACTTGTCCGGAACAGGCATAAAGGACAATACTGTTTCTACTGCAAGGGTGCAATCCAATTACTTTTAGCGAAGAGAGAGACAGACTTGTGAATTTACTAATGCAGGCAATTAGAGGAAAAATTAGCCTTATTTTATTTCATCCAAGCAGGACATAAAGGGTATAAAGAACACTGCTGTTTCTGCTGATATGAAGAACCATATGATTTTACTGTTCTGGAACCTGAATCAAGTTGCTTTGTAATCCAGGGCCAAACAGATAACTCAACAAAGATGATGGTAAAACAAACATTTATTCAGGAATACTGACTGAACTCATGTTTCTGTAGTTTCATCTGAATGTTGCATATCTGTTCATCTTTATAGGTAAAATCATTAATTCCTTCACATCAACTTCTAGCGTGAATTAAGACCGTGTGTGTCCTCTGGTGATCCCATGCTTATCTTAGACAAAGACACTCCAAACTGCTGGCACGTAGCCAGGATATCCTGTGATGAACTTAGTAGTCCCTCCTATTGACTTGTTAACATGGGATTCACTGAATAGCTAAACTACATTATCCATAAGCCATCTCTTAAGAAGACAATGCTTAACCCTATAAATGCCAAACATTCTAACATACAGATCCCATCTAACTGGCTGATTCAAAACAATAGGGATGCTGCAGTGGTCATAAGTATGAAAAATGGTCGTAAGTCACTTTTTTCAGTGCTGTTTTAATTTTGAACATTTACTTGTTGTAAATTGAGGATTATCTGTACTTTTCAAAGTTACTAAAAGAACTGAAAAAAGTGAAACATTTGTACCAACGACGTACCTGATTATGCAATTGTCAGGTCCAAGTGTCACTATAACAGCTTCTGTAGCTTGAAGAGAAATTAATTTAGCAAGCGCTTCTGATGTTTTACTCTGAAATAGAGACAGATGTGTATAGGTCAGTGGTGGTAAACCTACGGCATGGGTGCCAGAGGCGGCACTCAGAACCCTCTCTGTGGGCATGTGTGCTGTGGCCCCAGTCCTAGGCCTTCAGCTGGGTTTTATAAAACCTTTTCGCTTTAGGCCACTGCCGCCGTGTAAAAAAAAAAGGTTCAATCAATCAGTCAATTTCAACTTCTCATGGGAAAAAAAGATCTTGCAAAGTTGGAATTGATTGATTGAATTTTTTAGTCCCACCCAGTCTGCTGTTACCACCACAGCCATGCCCAGCCAATGGGCCATACCCAGCCAATAGGCCACACCCACCCAACACCCGACGATGCAGAAGTGGGTTTTGGGTTGTAGTTTGGACCTTCGGTCTCTAAAAGTTTCGCCATCACTGGTATAGGTAATCTTCACAACGTACTTGTGTTGCTTCCAGATTAATTTCGCATGATGTATTCTAAATATTGATATACACGCCACTGTTACTAATGTAAGAGCAGAGTGGAATGGCTGCTATCCTAAAGAGAAAGCCGAGATGCTTGAGAATTCTATTCTACTAGTTATGCACTGCGTGGAAGGATTAATATTTTAGATATTTTAGATTAGTCTTGGGGGTCCATGGCCATGAACTGTGGCCACAAAAAGTATTTAAAGGGGGTCTGTGGTAAAGAAAAGGTAGAGAACCACTGATCTATTCTGTTTATTTTTGCCAGTTATGCTGGCTTGTATATTTCCATCTCTGATTGCTTTTACATAAGTCTTCTGAATATTTCTGTTTTACTGTCATTTTAATAATTGCAAGCTAAGCCGAATATTTTAAGGACATGGTGCAAGTTTCTAAAAACCTGTATAAAGTGGTGGGCAGCCACATTTGTTTGAGATTTACAGGGGAAGTTGCAGAGGATATGCTGATGGCAGAAATGGATGGGGTCCAGTTTTATTCATTTATTTCATTTGTTGCAGTCAAAAGGCCAGCACTAAGAAGACTTATCTACATTCAATCCTTAAAGAATAAAATGAAAAGTAGAAATTAAAAGAATTAAAGTTAAGGCATTAATAAGCCATTGCCAAGCCATATTTAACACTGAGCAGGCATTACTTCCAGAGATGGCAAATTGTGGCACATTTGCAACCTTGTAGATATGGTGTACATTACCTACCAGCAGATAATGTCTCTTATCTAAAGGTATGTGAACATTGACAATGTGGTCATTTAGCAGATCATTGTATGACCAGACCTGATTTCACTATCACTTTTATCATTGTCATTAAGCAGATCACTGCTGACTGTCAACTCTGCAAATGAACCTGGCTTCAGCCATTTCCCCCCCCCCCCATTTGAGGTTGATACACAGAACAGAGGGAGGGGACTTGTCCAGGTGCTTTGAGGTCAAAACCACCAGCTGTCCCACGGGAACCAAGGTCGTCTGTTGCTCCCGCGACCAGGAATTGGGCGTTGTATAAGAAAGCCTGCCAATTGCATTTATTGGGGAATGTAGTCACTTACATAGTTTTGGGGGTGAGAACTTTATGCTTTGTAACTGGGGAATTGTTATGGGGTGTTCAGACTTGGTTTCACTTTTGACCATGCTGATACTTTGTAACCAATCAACATGTTCTTTGAGGAATTTGCAAGCCTCAGAGTTCTGTTTTATTTGTCTCTGTCTGTCGGAACCATGACACTGTCATTAAGAAAATCATGTGGTTGCTAAGTAAATCTGGCCTTTAGCTCTCAAGAAATACCAACCTTTGCTATGTGTTCTAGCCATCTCCCAAGAGCTATGAATACAAATAGCATTGGTGGGGTGTCAAAAAATGTGACAGGACTCTGTTCAGCCTTTTCAATAACTGCAACTATCAAAATGGTACATGAATAGATGTAAGCAGTTGATGTGGCCATTACTATCAGGACATCCATATTGGCCATTTTATGCTTTAATGACTTGTAGGCTTGGATATAGAAGTACCATCCACCCAGGAACTGGAAGGAAGGAAGAGACAGAAAGAGAGAGAGAAAGAGAGAGAGAAAAGAAGAGCAGTTAGCTTTCCATCATGTTCTGTCTAGATGTCTCAATAGAACTTTTTAAAGATTTATATAACAGGAGGTGTTAAAAACAGAGAAAAAGAGCCTCCATACCTGAACCAAAGTGCAAAGTACAAAGAAGAGAAGGTTAAGAATAGACAGTCCAGGAATCAAGTTTTGCTCCAGCACCATTGATCCATGATGGTCATCCATGGGTAATAACATATAAACCATTAAGCCCAAAACTGGAATACCAAACACCAGGCTGCATAAAAATGATTTCTTCCATCTGCAAAGGCAGAAAAACACTGTTAGAAGGTGAAGTTTTTCTGGCAACTTAATTGACAAAAGCATATTATACCACGCTTACTCACGCCTATGGATATCAGTGTCATCATGTTTGATACAAATCAGCCCTGAATGTGTATATTTTATTATGGCACATGTGTGGGTAGAGCTACAATATTTGGCCTGCAGCAATCTGGGAGACCATTAGATGCAAGGAAAAAGTCATCTGTGTTTTTGCAACCTAGCTATGATAGCCCATACAATGCACAGAAGTGGGAAACAAAGGAAATCAAGACTCTGTAGTAAAAGGCACAGTGTATAGTTGGCCAATTAGATTAGAAACCATTTTTAGTTTACGAATTATTCATGAAAAACGAGCTGTCTTCATTTCTCTTCCCCTCCAGCAATTTCCTCATTGAGTTGGCAACAAAGAACCCCTCAATCTATAACATTTCAATGATGTGTGGGTATTGCAGTGGGCAGACAGCTAATGGGAGAGGAATATCCCTGAAGCATTTGTTTATAAAATATTCTTTGGTTGGCAGATATACTCACTGTTGGATCTCCTGTTTGTGATCCAAGTTATGATCTTTTGGATCTCTTTTAGCCAAAGATGCTTGAAAACCAATTTCCTTTATAACAAAAAGCAAAAGAAAGATGATCAAAGGCCTGGAGTCTAAAACATACGAAGAATGGCTACAGGAATTGGGTTTGGCTAGTCTAAAGAAGAAATAGGGGAGACATGATAGCAGTGTTCCAATATCTGAGGGGCTGCCACAAGACAGAGGGGGCCAGATTGTTCATCAAAGCACCAGAGGGAAGGACGAGAAACAATGGTTGGAAACTGATCAAAGAGAGAAGCAACCTGGAATTAAGGAGAAACTTCCTGACAGTGAGGACAATCAACCAGTGGAACAGCTTGCCTCCAGAAATTATGTCTGAGACGGTATAGGTTCTCCTGCTTGAGCAGGGGGCTGGACTAGAAGACCTCCAAGGTCCCTTCCAGCTCCAAGGTCCCTTCTATTCTATTCTATTCTATTCTATTCTATTCTATTCTATTCTATTCTATTCTATTCTATTCTATTCTATTCTATTCTATTCCCTCCCGTCCCCTCCCGTCCTATCCTATCGTATCCTATCCTATTCTAGCCTTACAAATATAAATACAAAGATGATTAGATGATTATGTTACACAATTGTTTCTCTGTTAATTACCAGAGCTATTTTTGTAATGTGAGGTAAAAAAAATAGGTAAACACATTTTTTTTACTCATGGTGAACACCACTCAATGTCCAAATGCTACAGTCTTGTCAATTAGGAATTTGTAAACTGTAGCCCAATAAGAAAATCCTTAATTTATGATAATTGAATCCTGAATTTAGGCTATAAATCAGTGAGAAACCCATGTGACTGCCTTGCTCAATGTCTGCAGTCCTGGTTCTCCCTATATTGCATTGTTAAGCAACCGTGCAGGTTGTTAAGCAGATAGAGTGAAAGAACTGCCTACGGGGGGAGGGGGGAGCAGGCAGCTCCCCTCCATGTGCTGAAGGGAACTACAGTGCAGGGCTAGAGCAAAGAAGTCCAGCCTGGAAACTTGTTTTCTCCAGCCCAGCTCCTTTTTCTCCCTGCTGGAGAAACTCTGCCCAGAGCAGGATGAAATTAATCCATCAGGCAATGCTTTTGCTCTCAAAGAGCCTGGGTGAAGAAGTCCATTTGTGAAGGAACTTTTTCACCCTGAGAGCAATAATGCTGCTCGCAAAAGAGATTCTGCCCTGCTCAGGGAAAATCAATCCATCAGGCAGTGTTTTTTGCTCTCAAAGAGGCTGAGTGAAAGAGTCCCTTCAACAGTGGCTATCTGAAAAAGCTGACAGGGAAGATTCCACATGGTGTTCACACGATCGTGGGGCGTTTGGCAACCCACTATTAAGTGCAAACAAGTTGCCAAGTGCCAGGATTACAATCATGTGATTGCAACAGCTCTAACTTTAGGCTACAGGTTGTAAGTCCCTTCATTCAGTGCCATTATAATATTGAAAAGTTGCTAATGAGTGATTGTTAGGTGATGACTACCTGTATATCTGGCAGATGCCAGGTTAGGGAAGGCTACCTTAATGTTTTGCAACTTTCTAAAAAAAAAAATGCAAAACAGCACAAAAGCTGCCAGTGGTCTTCTAATATCAATCATTCATCTATTTATTTTATTTATTTATTTATTTATTTAATTTATATGCCGCCCAATCCCAAAGGACTCAGGGCGGCGTACAAAATTAAAACAATCATCTAACAATAAAACAATAAAATAATACAATCATACAGCATGTCCGATCATATCCCGCCCACCCCCCACCCCGGGGACATCAGCCCCAGGCCTGCCGGAACAGGAGAGTTTTAACGGCTTTCTTAAAGGCCGGCAGGGTGGGAGTAGTTCGAACCTCGGGGGGAAGTTGATTCCACCAGGTCGGAGCCACCACAGAAAAGGCCCTTCCCCGAGGGCCCGCCAGCCGACATTGTCTGGCCGACGGGACCTGAAGGAGACCAGGGCTGGGGAACGATGGCCTCTTTATGGCTGGCTCAGGAATTCTGGGAGTTGAAGTCCACAAATCATAAAAGGGCCATCATTCCCCATCCTTGATCTAGGCAATCCAGTTGAGATTTACCACCTTCTCAGGTCTCTGGAGACCAGTCATAACTCCTTAGATGATGATTAGCTGTATATCTGGCAGATGCCAGGTTAGGGAATACTAGCTTATTGATTTGCAACTTACTAAAAAGTGCAACACAGCACAAAATTTCCCAGTGGTCTTCTAATATCAATCATTCATCTAGGCCAGGGGTCTGCAACATTGACAACTTTAAGACTTGTGGACTTCAGCTCCCAGAATTCCACAAGTCTTAAAGTTGTCAAGGTTGCAGAACCCTGATTTCTAGGCAATCCAGCTGAGATTTACCACTTTTCTCAGGCCTCTGGAGGCCAGTCGTAGCTTCTGCAGCAGTTTCCACTAAACATTCCAGAAGGGCGGACTTCAACTTCCGGAATTCCCAACAATAGCTACACTGGATTGGTATTCTGAGCATAAAAATTTGGAATGTACCTGAATTGGGGGAAGATTAAATGTAACGTTAACATTAATTACCATCACAGCTCTCAGAAATGTTTGCTTCAATAGCTTACCTGAACAATTTTTATAATGTCTCGAGGACCAATCACGTCAGGATCATAACGAACACGGGCTTTTGAAGTGGCTAGGACTACAGAGGCATAGAGAATGCCAGGTGTTTCAGTAAGCTTGGATTCAATGCTATGAACACATGAACTACAAGTCATCCCTAGAATCTAAGCAAAGTTTCAGTTAGTTGTCAGCACAAGAATTTGCTTTGGGCTGTCAGATCGACCATTGTTCCATTGTACCTACATCTCCCATGTTAAACAAAAAAGTACACTAAGTTTCATCAGTGTGGTATTTTACACCACCTCCTGCAGTTCCAGATCAAGAGGGCATCTAGACAGGGTAGGAAATGAAAGGGAAATACAGCCAATGGGAATCCCAAAGTTAAACCGGCTTTCCCTATTCTAGTGTTTTCCAGATATGTTGAACCTCATCACATGCTAGCTGGGAGATGGACTGACAATGGGGATTCTCAACTGTTATATTTGCCCTTCGTAAGCAACTTTGCAATAATTCTTACATTGCAAAGTACGTGCATTCTCTTGGTCAATCTTTTTTCTTGGGAACATCTCAGATGCTCGCATTTCTCAGCAATAGATGGAAAAATGTAGAATTGTATGTATGTATGCAAATCTATCCAATTGGCATTATATGTTTTAGAACCTGACAGTCAAACACAGATGTAAAGAAAACTATAGGTATATAAAAACTTTAACTGCAAAGCCAATAGTTTAACTTGCATTTAAATTTATTTAAATTTATTCCTTATTGAATATTCTTATCTGTATTTTTCTGTTTAGAATCAACATGAGGCTTCTAAGAGTTTGTATTATGATGCTCACCTTAAGATCTATGTTGCCGTCTGTCCCAGCATAATCTTGTAAAACTGAAGCTTTAAAACCCAATTTCTCAATCAACTGGATTATTTCAAGAGGCTGAATTTTATCTGGCTTATATATTACCTCCACTTTCCCTGCCATCAAGGCAACAAGCACAGAGACTATTCCTGTAGAAACAAAGCTGCATCAGACATATACAGTCTTTCCTGAGTCACACCTAACAGCCTGAACACAGCTGTAGCACTCAGTCCAGCCTTAAAGTGTAATTTTTATTACTTAATCCAGCTACCATTTTAAGTAACCTGATAAGAAAGTAGATCTTTCTCAAATGGTTTGCAAGCTAAATCTAAATAATCATCAATGGCTGAAAGCCACTGTTTCAAAGGAGAACCCAAATACCATAAAGGAAAATGTATCATGCTATTTTACCATCTTCTTTTTGTAAATTCTTCTCAATACTTGAAACACATGATGTACAAGTCATGCCTGTTACAAGCAGGAAACATTTTTCAGTGTCTCTTTTACTGGAAAATTCTGGAAAGTTAGTGCACAACTTCTTTTTTGGCAAAAATACATCTTCAGATGACTGTTCTGGGACTTCGTTTTTCCAGGAAATAGAGGTTATCTCACTCAGCTCTATACTTCCATTAGTAGGTTTTCCAATTACTGCATCTAAAATAAGAACAACATTGCATGAATATGTGGAGCAGAAGAAATATTACATAGTTAATCATTATCCCAAAAGGATTTTAGGATTCTTTTCGAAGCATTGTCTTCCTTCCTGATAGTACTATATTTCTGAAATTAAATGAAGAATTTTAAACAAATATGTGTTGGAATGCCAATCCCAGATGGATTTTAATTTTCAAAAGATGCAAGATATGGAAACATGACCAAGAGATTTGAACTATTTAAAATGGACGAGCATTCCTTTTGTGTTGAAGACCACATTCAGTCAATGATAATTGATTGAGGGTTTTAGGGTGGACAGAGCAAGCCAGCTGAGGAGAACATCCATTGCTTCTGAAACTTTCCCTTTTCCTTTTCTTGAAAGCTTCTTCCTTCCTTTTCCAAAAATAAGATTCTTATGAGACATGTGATCTCTGGCAAAATAAATTATGCCAGTTAGGCCTCGTTAGTATTTTGATGGAAGACTACTGAAAATATTAGGATTGTACGGTAAACTGGAAATTCGGTTCTTAAAAAGGCAATGGCAAACCTCTTCCATGAGAGGGAAAAGGAAAACTCAGGGTTAGAGTTGAAGTCCATGAAGTCGCCAGGAGTAAAGCTTAATCTAAATATGTTTTTTTCCAAATATTTTGTTATGTTAAAAGACAACAAGTTACAAGGATCTTATCCTGCACATGATGGATATTCCACCAGCAGCCCAGAATATTATAATTCTGAAATAACTCTACTGAGTTTATGGATTTGGCAAAGGAAGTCTGTGCTACAAAGTTTGATGGGCTTAAAAACAGCAAGCATAAAAATTAGCTTCTAACTATTTCTGAAGGAATGGAGAATTAGTTTCTATTTATTTACAGATTATCCAAACATCCTTTTTGTCTTTCAAGGACAGATGTAAGCCTGCAGCTAAAAGAGAGACAAATTTAATTAATTATCTTCATGGATGGAACTCATGTGTTCCATATTAATGGAAAGCTATAACCACAGTTTCTAAATAAATATACGGAGCTCAAGACAGCAATATTTTTCTTCACTAAGTGTCTAATACTTAAATACCATGGCCCACCCAGTATTTAAGTATTAAAACTCTGTATTTTAGCAGTGTACAGAATCTACCCAATTCAAAAAGTCACGTATACATTTAGGACCTAACAGCTCCAATCCTAGGCTAGGGCTTATACATTTCTAAAATTTTAATTAAATTTCTAAATTTTAACACAATCAAAAGCAGCTCAAAATGACTAGATATTTAAAATTCACCAGTTGACACAAGAGTTTTAATGCATCTTGATTCAATAGCAGAAAAAAACTGTATCATACAATACCTGTTAGGACAAAAGCATCAAATCCCATGTCTTCTACAGCAGCTCGTATCTCTTCAGAGTTAGTCATAACGGAATTGTAAGATACAACTGCAGTACCTTCAATTAAAGATACAGAGATGTCCGTCACCCCTTTTTTTTGGGATAGGGAGCCTTTAATAGAGTTTACACAAGAATTGCAGGTCATTCCATCAATTCTAAGGAGAGCTGTACTACATCCATTTGCCTCCTGTTCTTGGGAAAGGTGACTGAAAGAAGATATAGAAGAGGCAGCATTTGAGATAATTAATCCATTTTGGCCTTCCATTCCACAAGAAAAAACTAGGTTAAAGTTACCAGGGGTAATGGCTTGGATGGATTGCTGCAATGAAGATGGAGTGATGAGTTTTTGGTTGAACCACACAGTAATCTTTTTTTCTTCCGGAGATACCCTGGTACCCTGTACTCCAATCATCTCTGAAATCAAACCTTCCATATCGTTTACACAAGATTTGTCATGCATTCCTTCAATTTCTACTACTGCAACACATGTACTGGATCCCATGTTGTCCCCAGTATTTCTGTCACCATTATGTTCACTGGACATTTTCATCTGCTGTAAGCGTTCAACATTAATGAAACCTAGTTCCAAAGAGGCTTGCTTATGCTTTATGGTGGATTCATACCCCAGGCTGTCTATGCTATTCTTTAGTTCTTCAGGTTTAATAATAAGGGGATGGTAAACAATGATAGCTTCTTGGTTGTTGAGGGTCACTTTGATTTTCTTCACTCCATGTAATTTCCCAATATTTTCTTCAATAGCATGGACACAAGACTGACAGGTCATGCCTTCTATTTTCACCTTAATAACAGCTTCACTGGACCATTGGCCTGAAGATTGGGCTGCCTCTGCAACATTGGCATCAAATCCCAGTTTTTTAATTTCCTGGCAGATTTGCTGATAGCCTATTTCCAGTTCCAAATATTTTACTGTTACTTGGCTTTGCTCAAAACATCCCTTGACAGTCACAATTCCTGGTAGCTTGGAAATTTTGTCCTCTATGGATTGGATGCATTCTTGGCAAGTGATACCCGAAAGATCAATGGTAGTTGTGTTTATTTGAGAAGGAAGAGAAGGTGAATAATCCGAATCGTCCTCAAAGCTAAGGTTGGTAAAAGCCAGCTTCTGCTTCATTGCCAAGGCTGATATGTGGCTAGGAGAAAAGTGATGAGGCACAGCCTGAAATGAAAGAAAATTTAAACCAAACATTAATTCTGCTGTTTTAATATATGGGGTGAAGTAAAGACAATCTTTTTGTGTAAGCTTGCTACTTATTCATTAGGAATACTATCTTTAGGCATTTCTAAAGCCAACAGTTGTGAATGTGCCATTCGCAGTCTTTAAAAACAATATATTTCTATGCTCACATAGAATTGCTTAACTGAGAGAACACGTATTTTCTTCCAAATGTCAAGCAAGAGGAGTGCCCCTTAACAAGAGCAGGGGACACTGAAATCAAAATACAATTTTCTAATCATTTTGTTTACATATGTCCCAATAATACCGTACTTGGTGGGGGGGGAGGATTTTTAGAATTACATTTAGCAGGCAGTAACAAGATTCTTCAATCTCTATTTTGTAAATATATATATATACATTATATTTAAATTAGAGGAAAAAAATTGAAATTGTGTCCAGCTCCAAAATAAAATTATTTTATGACTTATGACCATTTTTCACCCTTAAGACCATTGCAGTATCTCTAGGGTCACGTGAGCAAAATTCAGACGCTTGGCAATTGACTCATATTTATGATGATGGCAGTGTCCCCAGGTCATGTGGTCACCTTTTGCGACTTTCTTACAAGCAAAGTCAGTGGAGAAGCCAGATTCACTTAACAATCATGTTACTGATTTAAACACTGCAGTGTTTCACTTAACAACTATGTCAAGAAAGGTCGAAAAATGGGGCAAAACTCACTTAACAAATGCCTCACTAAGCAATGGTCATAAGTCAAGGACTACCTGTATTCTGCCCTAGACCTCTTGGAATCTGTCACAATAAAAAAAGTTTTCTCCTTATGACAGACTAACAAGACCAACAAACAAAACACCAATTTATTTTGTAAACTGATTTTTTTTATTATCAGGATCTTTCAAATTAATTTCTTTAAAACAAGTGACAGGAAAGATCTCAACCTAAGTGTAAAGTGATGAAACTAGGTATAGGTGAGTATTATGCAGGATCCAGGCTTTTAAGAAAACTCTTAACATTAACCTACAGCTGCTTACACTGCTGCAGTTTATTGAACTGAGAATTTATTGCTAGCATCAATTTCCAATAATCAGCTTATCTGTAATTACAATTTGTCTCCCTTTCCAAGCAATTGCTATTATGAAAACCTTACATGCAGTCCATAATTTGATACCCTGTAATAGTCAAATTGCTGGCTGATGCAGCTGCGGAAATGTTTTCTTTAGCAACAAAAAGGGGAACTTTTTTTTTATTCTGGGGAGAAAAAGAGATGCTACTGGGACATATTATAATGTTACAACCATAAGATTCCAAAATCCTGCATAAACTGCTGCTAAACTGAATGTTTCAAGAGAGACTGCTGTGTTCTCTCTGTATGAACACAGCTTACATTCATGCCACAATTAGTAACTCCACTAAGTTCCATGAGGCTTCCTTCAAGGATATAGCTATTGTACTTCAGCTTGAATTTCCCACAACCCCCCTCCCTCCAAACACACAGCTCAAACCACAACTAAGGTCCAGGCAGGTTAATTTGAATCCCTCCAGCCCCTGTACACTCACCTGTCTGTCACTGCTGTCCAGTGTTCCTGGCAAGTCCCTGGAGAAAATGTCTTTCTCTTTTGGAAATACATCATTAGTTTTCACAAGAGCTCCTTGCCTACAACATTCATTATCTTGCAACATATGCATGTTTTTAGAAGACTGCCTTTTACAAAAATTAACCAGAGTAACGTTTTTGTGGTTTAGAATTGCAACTGAGGACTGGCTTGTTCTCAGAGACATTCTTCTTTTCTCCTTTGCTTTTCTACCTCCTTATGGTACTGACCGTCAAATGAAAAAGCGGTGGTTGCTTCATTTGGTATTGCAAAAATTCCTCCTCCTCTGCCCTCCCTACTCTCTGGATGGTCAGATTGGTTAGATCATTACATGAAACTTTAGCCTTCTCCCATATCCATAGATTATGTCTCCGCTGTGCATGGTTACAAATAGGTTTAATTTTTCCCCCACCCTTTGTCTGCCTCATACTTATTGAAAAATGGCATTTAATACAGTTAATCTTTGTACATAGCTCTCCAGTGTCCTCAGCCAAGGCTGCCTTTCACAAGCTTGTCAAATACGGCCTGGGTGAGGCAATCCTATGTATAATTAACTCTACTGGCCAAACTTTCTTTCATCTTCCATCAAAAGCATGTTCAAAACAGTGGGAATCCAGATTTAAAGAGATCAGTTTTTAAATATGAAAAGGGTATTGAAGTTTTGCTATATGACAGATAGAAAATGCAAGCTGTGTGATAAAAAGTGATCAGTCCTACTAATAAATGCAGAAGGAACGAAAATATCAAGCAAAGGTACTTTATGGACTATATTTATCTAATAAAAAGGGTCTGAGGAAATGTTGTCTAGTTTTTTCTTTCTTGCTGCAAGTTACTCCTATCTCACTGACGTGACTTCTGAAATCTCAGATCATGAATCCCCATATAGAATTCCGTTTCACATTGTGTTTACTAAATGAATCAAATCAAGCTTGCTATTATTTCAAAATTCAATTGATGTTTGCAAATCTCAGAACATGAATTTGCGACAGTTTATTCTCTATATAGAATTCCATTTCACATAGTTTACTAAATGAATCAAATTAAGCTTGCTATTATTTCAAAATTCAATTGATGTTTGCTTTCAGCAAATTCTTCTGAATTTGCATATGCTAATTAGAACACTACAGCCAGACATCAAGCTCCCTAAACTTTTATCAAAACAAGCTTCCTTTGCCCATGCCACAACTTCAGCAAGGTTTCATTATACTTTCTTAGGAGAGTTGCAAGATAACTTTTCAGAAGATTCTTAACAATTTTCAAACACATTACTAAAGTATTTCCCCCAATTTTCCAGTCAGTAAAGAGCTCTCTGGAGCAGTTTTAATTTCTTTTGAAATAAAACTATGGCAGATTTATTGGCATGTTGCACAATAATGTTTGCAGCTATTTGCATATTCATAAGGTAAATATTGATGCAGGCACACAGTAGAAGCAGGGAACCTGTGGACCTGCCGATGTCACTGAACTACATTTCCCAGCATGCTTCATCATCTGCCATACTGGTTGAGGATGCTGAACTCATACTTCATTAAACATCAACAAGGCCATGCATTCTCTGCTTATCTCAAATACTGCATAGTTCAATCCAAATTCATCAAATATCTCTACCCTCTCCCTCAGCATACTTATCTAAAGTTTTGTGATAATATTCTTCCCTGATGTTCCTAAATCTGTAGTTTCTCCTCAGATCAGAGCATCCTCAGGTAGAATAAAGAAGACTTTCCCTTGTTTTTGATGTCTCCCTTTTGATTCATATTTCAGTTTAAAGGAAGAGTTTTTCCACATAATCACAGAAAAAGTCCTTACAAACTGTAGCATGAATACAGCTAGCCTAATCCTGAAGGAGCAAATACGCCTCCTTTTCATAATCTTTTGGATCCTCTCACAACAAAAGCTTCTTAAAAGGCACTAAACAAAAGGAATGTAATTTGAACCTCAGACCAAAATAAAACTGAAGAATGGGAAAAGATGTTTAATAAGAGAATATAGATCAGATGTATTTATGCATTAAAACAGTTCTCTAAAAACAGGATGCCTCTTCTATAATTATTAAGGTGAGACTCCTGTTTAGGCAGTATAATTGTGGCTCTGTCATTAGGCTTATCATATCCAGGTAGCAAAAATCCCCCCTATATTTTTGCAAATAACTCAACAAGGCAAACATACCTAATACTCTTTCCTCCTCCTATTTTCCCTACGAGTGAAGTGGATTGAGCTGAGAGTGATTGGCCCAAATCAATTATTTGGCTTTGATGCCTAAGATGGGACTAGAACTCATGGTCTCTTGATTTCTAGCCTAGTGCCTTAGGCCAAACTGGCTGCTAATCCTATTTCAATAGGAGAAGGAATCATCTTATTTTAGATTAAAGTATTACTTGTTTGTTGGCTTAGATTCAGAGAAATTATGATTCCTATTGCCTAAGTGGTAAGAAAATAATTTCAACAGATGCATCCCTTAAAGTTGTCCATTCTTCTGGAAAGAACCAGTGCTTGTTAGAACACAGTAACTTGTGTTTACATATTGCACTAAGCTATGCTTCATACATTAATTCATAAATCATGGATTTCACTATCATTCTATCAGTTTTAAGATAAGATTGCGAAAGATGTAACCCTCCATATTTTGTATCTTTTACTCATAATTCCCCGCTGATATAAGCATTGAGAATGAAGATAGTAATCCAAAACACCCAGGAGATCTGTTTTTTTACCTCTGTTGGGCTTGATAAAGTTGGATTATAACCTCTAGCAGTCCCCACCATATGACCAAAAATTAAGAAAGAGAAATTACAATTTAGCAACGTATAGAGAGCACAGGCCTTTAAATAACCACAATGCATATCATTATGCACCATTTTACAAACTGAATTTCTAGCCCAAATGCATATTCAAAAGTTTACTGTCTTTGATTCTAACATGTGCAGGAAAGAAACTAAAATATAACATAATTGTCTGGAGAATGAACATACAAGGACAAAACAATGGACAAGAATTAAAATTATGTAAATCTAAGATTATGTCTAAAAATTTAGGACAATGCATATAAAAGAATGCTAAATCCAACAGGCCTACATAAAGAATTTTATAAGCCTAAGGAGGAATGAAACGCAACATTAAAAGTTCTACAGTACATGTGTGTGAATCTAAATGGATTCTTAATCACTACCACAAAATGTTGCTATGCCTGTGATTTTAAAACAGGAGTCAATTATGAAAACATTAATACAAGTATAACAGAGTGAGTAAAGGTCATAAAAGTCTAGCATTATTGAAGAGTAATATTAGGTTCATATTTTATATTAATTATAAATATAGGTATTTCTGCCTTAGTACGGTAGTTTTTGAGGGACTTATCTATTTTAACTATAAACCATAGTACATGCATTAGTGTGATAGTTTATTAAGCAACAGTACTTTATTAATTAATAATTATTAAACCACTGTTAACTTCTGTCTCATACAATTATATTCTTATTCTAATCTTCTAGAGGATAGGACAACTGTTCCAGAAACTTGTCTTCACTCCTATTTTTTTCTAGAATTACAATGAACCATGGATATTAAAACAAAAATGTCACTTCCTTTCCATTTTTCAAAGGAAATAATGCAATGCACTTATAAAATATAAATGGAAATTACTGAAATTATAAAATATCTATTTCTGTGGCTTCCTATTACTCTTCCCTTAGGAGTACAAGAAGAGCATATTTAGCCTTCAAATGATTTTCTACTTTGCAGCAATCCTGCAATGTCCCCATTTTTTTAACCAAATATTGCAATTTGATCCTGTATATGTTTATTCTGGCTAAACCCAATGATACGTATTGCCAAAAACCTATACAGAATTACAACATCAACCAATTATAAATGACACAGCTTATTCACAATGAAACACATACCAGAAATCTGACCAGTCTTATCAATATTTCTACTTACTGTGTATGTCTCTAATTTAAAATGTCTTCTGTCAAAATATTTGAATACGTTCTGGAAGCCAAGCATTCCCTTGTCAGTACTGCTACAATGTATACCATGAGAAAAGCAAAAGCAGTCAGGAATTAAAAGCCACATGCTGATCATATGAAGGGGCTTGTCCTTTATTAATCTAATTTGGAATTTAACAAGTTTACTGCAGGAAATTGCCTGCATACGTTTTATCCAGTGACCATAAAAATATTTAAATATTAGTGGTTGTGTTTTTTCTGTTCGTGTCTAGTTCGTGGAGACTGCCTAGAAACTGCAGGGTTTTTGGCGAGGTTTTTTTTTTTTTTTAGAAACGGTTTGCCCTTGTCTCCTTTCTAGGGCTGAAAGAGAATGACTGGCCTAAGGTCACCCAGTGACTCATGCCTAAGGTGGACTATCAGCTTCTAGCTCAGTGGTTCTCAACCTGTGGGTCGCGACCCCATTTTGGGTTGAACAACCATTTCACGGGGGTCGCCAAACAACGCAGTCCGCCATTTTTTTCCCCTTTTCCTTAGCTGTGCTACTCCCTTTTATTCTATTGGCTTTTGAAAGCCAATAAAACAGACTCTCTTGAATAGAGTCTAATTCTATTGGCTTTCAAAAGCCAATAGGAATTGTCCAGGCTGTCTCTGCCCTGCTGAGCCACCAAAAGCCCCAGTCTGCAAACGGTGCTGCAAGTTGTCTGCAACGAAGGCGAGCTGTCTGGAAGTTTCCACCCCTCCCTGCTGAGCAACTACTAAAAATGTAAGTAAAAGAGGGCCAGGGGTGGGAGGTGGGAGGCCGGCGGGCGCAGGGAGGGTTGCTGGCACGTGTGGGGCCCGGTGGGTGCCTTACCTCCCTTGGACTGGGCCAGTTGGTGGCCCAGCCGGTGGTCGGCCTGCTCCCTCTCTGCCGCTTGCCAGCTATGCCTCGGCCGGTGCAGGGGGCAGCACCACCCATGTGCGGCGCTCCCGGGCAGGGAAAGTCCTCGACTTACGACCGGTTGGGTAGTCTTCGACTTACAACCGGTTGGGTAGTCCTCGACTTACGACCGGTTTGATAGTCCTCGACTTACGATTGGTTGGGTAGTCCTCGACTTACGACCGGTTGGGGGTCGCGGCAATTAAAAAGGTTGAGAACCACTGTTCTAGCCTGATGATTTAACCACTATACCATGCTGGCTCTCTCTATCTTAATACCAAATACTAATGATTTAATACTAATATTAAGTAAAGTATTTGTCTCTCAATATCTGAAAGATGGAAAAAGGGATTTTTTTATTATTATTTTCAGATGTCCCTTTTCCTGAAAACTTCATTTATTTTTCACACTTAGCTTTTTCCAAGTAACAAAAGGAAAGGCAGGTTGGTGACACAGATGCAGACTACAGGTGGTCCCCGACTTACAACGGTTCATTCAGTGACAGTTCGAAGTTACAACGGCACTGAAAAAAGTGACATGATCATTTTTCACCTTTCTGACT